TCACAACTAGCGGACTTGCGAGGTGTCTACCGCATTCTCTCTTCCCGCACTCACCTGTGCCTGTGTCAAGAAAATCGAGAAGGCTGGAGGCGGGATCGGACGCAGGTAACACGATACAACGACAACAGTTCGACCGTCGATTTCGACGATGACCACTACGAGCTTCAACGAATTGAAGCAACTGGGTGACATCCGCGAGATATACAGCGAATATAGACTCGCGGAGGATCTACTTCACGCTCTGACCACTCCCGCACCAGGACCCGGTTTTCAAAACATTCTGGAACGCAAACCAAATAACGCCTGCCGGATCCTGATTTGGCTCTGGTGGTGGTCCAGCGCATCTACATCCCGGTCCTTTTAAGGGTCACACCAAAACCAAACATTGCCGACGATGACCATTGGCGATTGCAACGAATGAAGTGACAAACACTAGCAGGGTTCTCGTATTTCAGTCGTAGAAAGGGGACATTTGTCATCCCTTATGACTAAAACAAATTTTCAAGTGTACAAGGCAGGATGACTCTCCAAGAAAAGTTTAAGATACAAATGCGGTGGGTAGAACCATTGTTTTTAGAAAGACTCCAGTGAATGTATTCCACATAAAAGTATGAAGAAACGTTCGTCTGAAATGCTTCGTGAGGCAAGTAATTGAAGATCTGGCATGTAGCGCTGTTAACGTTGACAGGGAGATGAACTAATTGTAGTAAGTGAGAGCCAGGGGCACGCCACACAGGAAGGTGTAGAAAATATGCGTAGGCTTTGCAACAGATTACCACGCAAGGCCCGTGACTACGCGTCCTCAGCCCGGTATGGGCTGGAAAATATTCCTTCGTGTGTATTAGCAAAAAGTGTAGCCATCAAGGCGCATACCAGTTACTATATCGTAAAACGCCTGGCAAGGCATAGAGGTGATCGGTACAGAAATCTGAGGGGAGTCTTGTCAGACGGTAAACGCGTTGGACGCGCCCCGAGATGCCACAATTTACCCCTCCGAGAAGGAATGCTGGTGGACATGCTCGCCTGTGCGCACGCAAAACGCAAACGTGCGCTTCTCACGCACCTGGCCGTCAGCCAACCCCCAGGCCGCCCTTCTGCGCTAGGATATATTTAGAAGAGACCATCATCCAGTTTCCGGTGCAGCGAGCAGGCACACATAGAGTGAAAACAAATCTGCACTGGGATATGCAGTAGCCAAGATCGCTGCTCTTGTTTTCAACAATCACGGAGACAAAACATCACTGTCAAACCTGGAACAGAGGCGACTGACCACCACAACCACCGCGCAAAGTGAGGAATACAAAGAGAGCAATCAGCTGGGCGTGGAGCATATGAGCCCCGGAAAGAGGAGTCGTGCCCAGTACTATGTCCTCTATAATCTTATCTGATTTTAAAAAGTTACATCCAGTGCAGCAACTACAACTCTGGTAATCGCCTCCAATGGCGGAAGACCAGAGGTCCTACGCTGGAAGG